TGGCCTGTGCCTGCTGTGTGTGGGGAGAGGATGGTGGTGGGGGACCGCCTGGTGGGACAGAGCAGGTCTCCAGCCTGGTCCTGGTGGCTTACTTTCTGGACCAGAGATGCAAAGAAGTGCAACAGGATGGGCTCTTTTCTATCTGTCTTCCTTACTCACCCCCAGTTTTGTCACCTTTCCCGGTGTCCCTAGGGCTCACCATCATGGTCTGGGAACAGGAGTCTCTTGCAGAAAGCTGGCCCTGACGTTCGGACAAGGACCCATTTGTTTCCTGATTGGCAGTCACATCCCTCCTCATCTCTGTACCTGGTTTCTTCAGGTTTAACCTAATTGCTTTCTGTCCCTGGGGCTTTGCACTTCTGCTCACTTTCCTCCCCGACTTAGGTCATATTCTGTGACAGAAATAAACCGTAATTTTTTGTCCTGAGGAAGAAAGTTATTGCTCGATTCGGAGGTTTGTGGCCTGTAGCCTTGTACTGAGAAGTACAGAAGAGTTGGGTCTCTGAGAATTAAATTACACCCCAGATTAAAAATCAAAGGCATAAGTGTTTAGGGGCCAAATGCACTTTCAGTTAAATCAGTTCAAAGCATCAGGAAAACCGTTAGAAATATTTGAAGAGCACGGCAGGTGGCTGGGTTTGCATTTTTTAACCTGTGTCATTTGATGTTTTGCTCCCAGAGGGAGGGTATGAGGAATTTCATTGCCTCCTAGCCGTTAAAGTGCTCAGGGATCCTACACAGTCTTGGTGGTTGGCAACCAAATTTCAAGAGTAGAGACTCTGCTGCCTGTATGATAATGGTTAACTGTGGACAGAACCATCACCTTCAAGCCTCAGTGTGCAGTTCTTTGGGTCATGAGAAGATCTCATTGAAAACCACAGAAAACTTGTATAATTTCCAAAGCCAGTGTGGGTGGGTGACATCCTATAGGAGACCTTTTTGAATTATGGCTTTTCTGGGTGAAGGTTGAGTCCTGAGGATGAAACCTAACTTTTCTAGGATGTGCTCCTCCAAGACTAGGAATCAGCTGCCAGGGGGTTATATTCTGAAAGGTGGTCATGGAACTGGGCTTGTATGTGACCTGCATCTCTCTGAGTGCCAGCTTTCTCATCTATAATGTTAGGGAGTTGGGTATTCTGATCTCTTAGGTTCCTTTCATCCCCTAAGTTTCCTGATTCAATCTCTCACGCTCCTTGTCAAATCTTTTGGGGAAATAAATCAAGGGAAGATAGTTGTGCAATGTCCTATGCACAAACCTCAGAGATGTGTGCCCTTGGAAAAGACCATGCATCCATCCATCTATTCATCTATCCATCCACCTACCCATCCACACATCCATCCATCCAACCATCCAACCATCCGCCCATCTGTCCATTGACCTATCCATCCATCCATCCATCCATTCATCCATCCATCTATCCATCCATCCATCCACATATCCTTCTGCCCATTGACCTATCCATCCATCCATCCATCCATCCATCCATCCATTGACCCATCCCAACCACCCATCCATCGGTCTGTCTACTGACCTATCCATTCATCCATGCATTTATCCATCTATCTACCCATCCATCCATCCATCGATTTACTAGTACTTTTAATGATTCTTTCATATCACCAATAAACATCACTCAGTGCTCATGATATAGCCAAATCCATGATATTTTAAGCTCTGTGGGGGCAAGAACTGTGTTCTTTGTGTAGACACTGGATCTCTTCCCCATGCCTAGTAAATCATAAATGCTTAAATATTTGCCAAACGAATGACAGAAAGGTAATACACTTGCTGTTTTACAAAACAACAGGGTGGGGAATGGTTCTGCTTTGCTGTAGTCCATTTTCCTAATTTTTGGCAGTTGTACATATTTCGGTGCTAAATAAATATTTGTTAAAGGACAGAGAAAGAATCTCTGTGCAGCTGCAGTTGTTTGTGTTTATGTGTTCTGGCCATATGCTCGTGTACCAGCTCCTCAGGCAGTGTGGTACAGTGAGCAGGGCATGACGGGTCTGGAGTCAGGGGATTTAGAGTCTCTTCCTCACTCTTTCCAGCAAGCCATGCCAACTTGGATAAATCACGTAGCCTCTCCGGACCTCTCTGTTCTCATCTGCAAAGTGAAAAGTCTCATTTGGCTCCTTCCAGCGTTAAAGTGCATGATTGGAGCATGAGGGAAAACAGATGTAGGCAAAGAGTATACCCTTAAAAATGATAGCTGTTATTATAGAAAAGGCAGGGGCTTGTCTTCTTCATTGCAATATTAAGGAAAGGGTTGAATATCCTTTGAATATTCAGTAAATGCTTTTGAATCACAATAATGAAATAATTGGGAAGTGCTTACTTAACAGACATTTTGTAGGGATCACTACACGACAGGCATTGTTTTACATGCTTCAATAATGAATTTCATCTTCGTGATGACTAAATGAGGTGGGTACCGGCATTGGCCACACTTTACATGGCAGACAACTGGGACCGGAGGGGTGAAGTTAGCTCCCCCTGTGATCACCCCCCTCCATAGGGAACAGAGCCAGCATATGGAGCCAAGGGCTCAGATGCTCACGCCTGTGATGTTGACTGTCCTGTCATGACCTGGTGTATGTGACAACAGTGTTAGATCTCTTGGTGGCTAAAACAGAATATGAAGCTCAGTTCCTACCATGAGGTGCTCACAGTCTAATTGGGCACATGAAATATTTAGAGAATGAGAGTGGGCAATAAAGGCTCAATGGGAGGTGTAGATCACTGGAGGACAGGAAAGCACATCACAGGTACCTTACTTTTATAGAACATGTTATGCCTTCCTGAGTGTGTTCACATCGATCATCTCATTTGCTCCCCATTAAAGCTATCATTATTTATTGAGGGTTTACTATGTGCCAGACACTGGGCTAAGTGCTTCGCTTATATTATCCAACCAAGTCTCACAACAAACCTATTACACAGGCACCAATTCTGTTTTAGTATCACAAACCCAATTCAGTCCGTTCATGTAACAAAAAGTGGAGGGGTGAGGGCTGGCATCGAGCACAGCTGGCTCCAGGGACATGAACAATGCCTCTGGGATGTGGTCTCTCTCTCCTCCTCCGTCCTCCCCTCTGACCCCATTAGCTGTAGTCTGATGAGTTCTTCCCTCAATGGGCCTCAGGCAACCTCGGGTTGAGGTCATCCTCACTGCAAATGAACCCAGCAGAGAGAGAGAGGCCTCCCTTCTCAGCATTGCCAACAAAATGTCCTGAAATTGAGCTTGGTGCACGTGGCTGTCCCCAAACTGGACACTGTGGCCAGAGGGATGGAATATGTTCATGGGTCAGACCATGGTCAAAAGACCAGTCCCATAAGTTTCAGAAGGAATGGACCCATAGGACCCTTCAAGGAAGGCGAAGGTGATGTTTCGAGAATAATGGAGGAAGTATGCTGGGCAGACACAAAGTGAGAATGTAAACAGTGGTTATTTTCCTGTATTTTATGGGGAAGCAGGGTCTGAGAGTGGAGTGCTTTGACCAGAGCCTCATGCCTGGAGGAGAGCAGGGTTTGCATGGCCTGTCTGCTGCTTTCCACCTGTCTGTGATGGGAGAAGTTGGGTACAGACTGGTTGAATGCCTCCATTCTGTCTGGATGGAGAGACCTTCTAGGATTCAGGGGACAGCTCTCCGCAGAGCGGCAGCTGACAAAAGTCCCCAGACAGCCGTCTTCCACTGTCTGAGGGAGGCTATTCAGGGTATAAAATCTGGACAGTTGGCATTATATCTTCTTTCAAAACCTGCAACTCAGGCTTTTGAACCACAGCTTCTGGTTGAAAAACCCACACGCTCCCTAAATTTGGAGGAGAGATATGAGTGGTTTCCTGTTGGGTGCCTTCTTTCAAAGTAGGTTTTCAAAACGTGGCGGTGGGTGGTGGCTCTGGGCTGTGAGTTAGAGACTTGCTGGTGGACCCTGCCAACACCACCGTACCTGCCAGTCTGGTGGACTGTGCGTGGCGCTTCCTCTGCTCTGGTTTGAGAGGAAGCTGACTTGGTCAGGGGACTGTGGTCAAGCGTGGTCTCAGGGAGAAGTCTGCAGGTACTGCTGTGTGGTGGGGCAGCGTGGCTGCAGGCGTAAAACTGTCCACCGGCTGAAAGCACTGGTGTTCAGTGAAGCTGTCCGTAGGTGGGACCCTTAGGATAGGAGTCAGGTGTCCTCGACTGAGGTCAGACCACTGGCTCCTCCCCAAAGCCAAGGTTCCCCAGCCCAGGAGGAGATGGACCATGCCCAGGTCTCAGCAGTGTTTCCTAGAGGAAGCGCACGCAGAGGGCTGGATTCTGTGTCTCCCTTCTGTGACCACACCCTCCCTCCCACCTCATGAGACCACCTGTCCTCTACCTGTTTCCCAGGTCAGCCTGCACCCCTTGCCTTTCACCCCAAGTCCCGAGCTCCAACCACAGGGGCAGGGCGGGTGTCCCAACAGGACTGTCTGGGTTCAGATCCTGGCCCCTCCTCCAAGGGAGCAAACCTCAGGGGACCTAAACCTCCGTTCCCAACTATTGTTTGATGGAATAAACTAGAGAAGGCCTTCAGTGCTTGCTGGTGATTTTGTCGCATTACTCAGAGACTGATAAAGTGACCTCCCTGTCATTGTCCCATGACAGGCCCCAGAGAACCCTCTGTGTGGCCTGGTTGGGGGACGCCCCCCACCTGTGCTCACCTGGTGGGTCCCATGTAGGCACACTTACTCTGCTCCTCACACGCCCCTGGCCTGCCTGCTTGCACCTGCCTCCATCATCTGTGATCTAGCGAGGTCCCCAGGCCTCCGAGCATCTCTCTCCATCCCCTCCCATTGCCATCCGCTGGTCCTCAGGCTGCCTGTAGCCCATCAGTCAGTAAAGGATCTCCCAGTTCCAACCACAGGAGAGACGGGAGATTCCTGCTCTTCTAACATCCGTCACTCCATGGGCGCCAGGCCCCGTGTGTACCCGCAGAAGGCGAGCCTCTGTGTCATCACCTTTGTTCTGACTTTCGCTAGACAGGCTGCCGCCTCCTGTCCCCGGGCCCCCTTGCACGCCCACAGCACAGCACTGCCACCCTGGGGCACCGTGGTCACCGTGGTCATCATGGGCATCGTGCGAGCGGCTCTTCACCTGCTGCTCAGGCGGCTGGGCGGCCTCAGCCTGAGCCCCAGGCGGGGCGGAATCTCAGCTTCTTCATCTGACCAGGGGTCGGGGCTGGCTGAGGGGGGTGAGGAGGTGCCCTGCAAGGTGGCACAGGGTAGTATAAAGACGGTAGGGGTGTTTATTGTGGAAAAACACACAAAGCATAACATTTACCATTTTAATCATATTCAAGTGTGCAGTTCAGTGGCACTAAATGCATTCGAATGTTGTGCAGTCATTCACTCTGTCTAGTTCTAGAACATTCCTTCATCCCACACACACCCATACCCCACCCATCAGCACTCGCTCCCCCATTCCCTGCTCCCCCAGCCCCTGGAGGTCACTGATCTGTTAATACCTCCTGCCTCTATGGATTTGCCTGTTCTGGACGTTGCATTTAAATGGAATCATACAATCTGTGGCCTTTGTGTCAGGCTTATGTCACTTAGTATAATATTTTCAAGGTTCATCCACATTGTAGCATGGATCATTGCTTCATTCCTTTTTACGGCTATGGTAAAGAATCTGCCTGCAATGTAGGAGACCTGGGTTCTTCGATCTGTGGGTCAGGAAAACACCCTGGAGAAGGGAATGGCAACCCACTCCAGTATTCTTTCCGGGAGAATCCCATGGACAGAGCAGTCTGGTGGGCTACAGTCCATGGGGTCACAAAGAGTCAGACAGAACTGAGTGACGAGTGACTAACACTTTCAGTACTTCACTTTGGGCTGTGCAATAGTTTGCTTATGAAGCTGGAAGTTTCCATTTGAAATCTCTTTCAGAGGCTGGTAATTGTGGAGAAGGGATGATTTGAAATTTGGAGGAGGCCTGGGGTGGGGGTCATGAGACTGGGAGCTCTCCTGTGGAGCTGGACCTATTCTTTGCTTCCTGCTGTGAAGACCAGGGCCCCCGGGGTGGAACTTCTGACTCCTTCCTGGTGGGCTTGAGAAAATCTGTAGGACACCTCCCTGCGGCCTGGCCCTGAGTAGGGGTGCTTTGGGGCGTCCAGCAGCATTGAGGACGGTGACCTAACAGAGGACAGAAGCTGTCCAGCCTGATAGAGGAGCAGCTGCAGGCTTGTGAGAGCTGGGTGGGCTGGGGAGTGTGAGGCCCCAGCCGGACCAAAGCCTGGGATCAGGGTAGCAGTGGGCAGGCCTCAGGACCCGGGTAGGCCAGGAACAAAACCAGGGATCTGGATCAAGGGCTCAAATGCATCTTCCTCTCCACCCATGTTACCACCCTCATCTGTCAGAGGTCATTTCCCACAACATATAGGTTCCCCAAAAGACTCTTGTGTGGATCCTTTCCCACCCCATTCCTACCACCCTTTGATTTGTTAACTGATCAATTCTGGCTGCGATGTCTCTCCCAGAAAAGCTTTCTTGACCTGCACCCCTGTAACCCACGAAAACGTCCCGGTGGGGTCTCTCCTATGTGTCCCTTCGATCCCTGCATATCCAGCCGGGCTCTGAAATGTACAGGCTGTTTGCTGGCTTGTGTCTCTGAAGGACCATATATTGTGTGGGGACAGGATGCACTGTCTTGTTCCTCATGGCACCCTTGGCATCGTGGACCATTACCTGGTGGTTGCATTCAATCGCTAAGTTGTGTCCAACTCTTTGAGACCCCATGGAATGCATGCAGCATGCCAGGCTCCACTGTCTTCCAGAGTTTGTTCAGATTCATGTCCATTGAGTTTGTGATGCTGACTAACCATCTCTTCCTCTGCTGCCCCCTTCTTTTGCCTTCAACCTTTCCTGGCATCAGGGTCTTTTCTAATGAGTTGGCTCCTCGCATCAAGTGGCCAAAGTATTGGAGCTTCAGCTTCAGCATCAGTCCTTCCAATGAATATTCAGGGTTGATTTCCTTTAGGGTTGACTGGTTTGATCTTCTTGCAGTCCAAGGGACTCTCAAGAGTCTTCTCCAGCACCACAATTAGAAAGCATCGGGAAGCAACCTAGATGCCCATCAGCAGATGAATAGATAAGGAAGCTATGGTATATATACACAATGGAATATTACTCAGCCATTAAAAAGAATTCATCTGAATCAGTTCTAATGAGATGGATGAAACTGGAGCCCATTATACAGAGTGAAATAAGCCAGAAAGATAAAGACCAATACAGTATACTAACTCATATGTATGGAATTTAAAAAGATGGTAACGATGACCCTATATGCAAAACAGAAAAAGAGACACAGATGTACAGAACAGACTTTGGGACTTTGTGGGAGAAGGGGAGGGTGGGATGTTCTGAGAGAACAGCATTGAAACAAGTATACTATCAAGGATGAAACAGATCACCAGCCCAGGTTGGATGCATGAGACAAGTGCTCTGGGCTGATGCACTGGGAAGACCCAGAGGGATGGGATGGGGAGGGAGGCAGGAGGGGGGATCGGGATGGGGAACACATGTAAATCCATGGCTGATTCATATCAATGTATGGCAAAAATCACTACAATATTGTAAAGTAATTAGACTCCAACTAATAAAAATAAATGAAAAAAAAGAGAAAGCATCGAAGAATCCACCGTTAGATCCCTGGGTCAGGAAGATCCTCTGGAGAAGAAAATGACTACCCGCTCCAGTATGCTTGCTTGGGGAAGTACTTAGTGATGTTAATCATCTTTTCATGTGCCTGTTGGCCAGCTATATGTCTTCTTTTCTTTCTTTTTGGTTTCCCTAGTGTCTCAGACGGTGCCTGGTGATCTGTATATAATTGCTGAATGAATGAATGAATTGGGCTGAATAGAGATTAAAGTGAGGCAGTCTTGAGCTTATCTTTCTAACAAATTGCAACCACAGAGAAGAGAACCCCAGGAGAAATGAGGTCACCCACATCGGAGCAGCTCCAGGAGGTGTCTGGGTGACTGCTGATGTGATGTGTTGCAGAGGGATTTGAGCCAGGTAGGGGGATGGACCAGATGACTGCTCAAATCTTCTGGGTTTTGATGACTCAGCTGCTCCTTGCCCCACCCCTGGTCTGTTTCTCATGCCAGCTGAATCCCCACAGGGGTCCTGTTGTGACCCAGATGCTGGTCAGGAGCCTTCAGTCTGGCAGGTGCTGCTCGGTATGGAATTTAATCTAGTAATGCATTGCCCACGTGGTCATTTCATTAGTCTCCCCCTCCGACCAGGAAGCCAGAGCCAGAGGCTGGGGAGGTGAGGGTGAGGAGCATCTGGCAGCTTAGCAAGTTCTTCGGAACTAGAAGAAGGTGGGGGCTGTAGGGACGATGCTGGCCCAGGGGTGGACGGGGTCGAGGAACGGAACTGTGGGTGGTTGCTGGGTGGGGGAGTCTGCAGAGTTCCCCACCTGGTAGGAGCTGCACCCATTCAGAACCTCCGATTCCAGATGCTTTATCTCCCAGCCTCCATGAGCCCCTTTCCCTGGCTCGTCCTGAAGGTGATGGGATCCACCCCCTCTCTGCTTGCTCCATCCAGGGAGCTCACAGCTGAAGACCCTCCCTGTAGATGGGGGATTACCATAACACCCCCTTTTTAGAAGGGTAAACCGAGGCCCAGAAAGTACATGGCTTGCCTGAAACTGGTCCCTTTGGTCAGCTATTCAAGCTCCTCTCTCTGTGGTCAAAGGGAGAAAAGAGAAAATTGGAGCCCATAAAAGTTGGGGTAGATGAGCAGCAGGTGCACCAGGGAATTCCGAGGATGTTCTAGGAGGAGGTGGCGAGAACAGAAAGGACCCAGAGCATCCTCAGAATTCCCTGGTGTGCCTGCCTCTGAGGCTCTGTGCTGAGTGCTGGGAGAGACCGAATAAGGTGCATCCTGTCCCATCTAGCTGTCCAGAGGGAGAAGGCAGGCTGCCCCCAGAGCATCCTCAGAATTCCCTGGTGTGCCTGCCTCTGAGGCTCTGTGCTGGGTGCTGGGAGAGACTGAATAAGGTGCATCCTGTCCCCTCTAGCTGCCCAGAGGGAGAAGGCAGGCTGCCAACCCAACAGGGCCGTGCGGCCCAGGGCACCAGGAGTGCAGCAGGTCTGCTTTGTCAGGGAGGCCTTTATACCAGAACCGTGTCTCCACCTTCGCTGATGTGGGCGGCTGCATCCCAGCAGGCAGAGGGTCTGGTGTGCAGGTAGTGTCTGTATCCGGCAACTGAGGCAGAGGCTCTAAGACGGTAAGGACTTCTGTGCCAACTCTCACTGTGGGCCGGGTACCTGGAGACTCAGCCCAGGTATACTGTCCTAAACGCTCCTTTCAGGTCTGGTCTGGCAGCCCGCTTCACCCGGCTTCGTGCCCAGCTCCGCGCCTTGGCAGACGTCTTCCCCTCTGGGCTGCTTGCCTTTTCTCCAGCTTTCTCTCCCTTCAGAGCAGAGCCCAAAGCTTCTCCAGGAGACCTCAGCCCTCTCTGAACCTGAACGACTGTATTTAGTGCTTGTTCTGTTCCATCATCATCTTTGGCTAACTGTCTAACGTGCATTAGCTTTCTCAGCACATCTAGTTTATAAATTCCGTGGTGGGGTCACTTCACACGCGAGTCTTTGATGGTGGTACCTAGCTCAGAACAGAGTTGAAAACTTACTGCTGGAAGCCTGTATGAAGAATGCTGATGACGTGTATCTTCCCAAGGGAATTCGCAGTGACCCATCCTGCTTGTCTGTGTGTGTGGTTTCTCCCTCTTATTAGCGTAGAGACAGAAGCTCTCTGGCTCAGAAAAGCATCCAGCTGTTCAGAACAGCTGGAAGCCAAGTATGGGGTATTTGGGGGTGAGTTGTTTCTTACTTCTTAAGCCCTTTCACATGATATTGTTTGGGCCAGTGCCGCCTGATGGAGAGGTTTCTCCTGATTCCCATGAAACCGAGACAGAAAGACAACTCCAGAGCAAGACTGAGGACAGGCCAGGAGGAGCAGGAGGCCAGGGGGCTGCCTCAGTGGCCAGTGGCTTCAGGGGCACTAGCTTGGCCCTTGTCACTGTTTCTGTGTGGCTGACATCTGTTCCTGGGGCAGGGGGACAGTGGACATCTCCAGATTCCACGGTGGCCCATACTTGCTGTCACTCAGCCCTTCATGCGTCTGGGGGCCTGGTGTCTGCTTGTTCCCAGTTGTGTCTCTGCCTTCAGCGGTGTTGCAGGTTCAGTGGGAATGCAGATAGAGGATGTGATTGCAGGTACAAGTGCT